TTCTCAACCTCATCTTTCCTCCTCCTTCCTCGTCCTACTACTACTTATCCTCTTTTCGTCCTTGTCCTCCCCCTTCCAGCCCCCACGTCATCCCCCCTTCCTCCTCCTGATCCCACCCCCCAGCTCCACCTTCATCCTCAGGCTCTGCGCTCCCTCATCCAGCATCTCCTCCACCTCCTCGCGAGGTGGTCCGCCTGTGCACGTCTATGGAACTGCAGGAGGAGATAGAGAGAGAGAGAGAGACAGACAGACAGACAGAGGGAAGAACAGACATCAAAAACAAAACAAACGACGAGGGCACGGAAGAGAAGGACAAGGACGAGGAGGAAGAGACGAGGACACCACCGATGCCGAAGAGGGCGGGGAGGAGAAACGCAAGAAGGTGGAGGCAGAGGACGACATCGAACAGCAGGCGGGGGGACGACCCGATCCTCCCCCCCCGTGCCTCCCGCCGCCTTCGGCCTCTCGCTGCCCTCCCCTTCCGCCCCCTCCCGTCTACGCCATGCTGGCACGGCCTAGAACTCGACGGCCACGACGGCGAGGACGACACCACGCCGGCGGCACCGGCGGCGGCGACGACGCACGCGGCGCCGGCCCCCCGCCTGGGCGGCGGGCTGGCGCTCGCGCGCCGCAGCAGCGCCTCGTCGAGCTCCACGTCCAGGTCCTCCCGCAGCAGCGGCGCCGGCCTCGCACGCGCGCGCCGCAGGAGAGCCCCCCCTCCGAACGAGCTCGCCGCCCTCGTCCACCGGGCCAGTCTCGCCGACGCCCAGGAGGACTGCCCCCGCCGAGGTCCCCCCAGAAGGCCCCGGAAGTCACCAGGTAGGCCTCTGTAGGCCGGGCACGAAGGGCCGCACGCCCGAAAGTGCCGTCCCTCGACCCATCGAGGGTCGAGGTCAAAACTTGGCACGCCATCCTCCCACTCCTTCGCCTCATCCACCTCCTCCCCCTCCTTCTCCCTCGTCGCGTGTCCCCCTGACGAAAATACTCCTCCTCCTTCTCCTCCTCCTCCTCCTCCTCCCTCCTCCTCGTCCTCCTCCTCCTCCTCCTCCTCCTCCTCCTCCTCCTCCTCCTGCTCGCCGACGCTCCGAATGCGTGGAAGTGCTGCTGCTCGTGGAAGCACCACCTGGCGATCGGCAAGCTGCGTCTGCTGCCGAACCAAGCTGGCAAAGAGGCGTCTTCGGCTACACGCAGGAGTGACCCTGGGTAAGAGTGACCTTTGGTGCGCGGCTTTTTGGGGGCCGCGGGGGACCAAACCTGGGCGCGCAAGCCGCTGCTCCTGCTTCGTTTCCAGCCATCTGGGGACCCATCTGTGCCCCCACCAAAGGTCACTCTTACTGCTTGTGGAACATCTCCCTAGCTCCTCCTCCTTCCTCCTCCTCCTCATCCCCCTCCTCCTCGCTCCTCCTCCTCCCTCCTCCTCCCTCCTCCCCTCCTCCTCCCCTCCCTCCTCCCTTCCTCTCTTCCTCCTCCCTCCCCTCCCTCCGCCCTCCCCTCCATCTCCTCCTCCTCCCTCCTCCCTCCTCCCTACTCCCTCCTCCTCCCTCCTCCTCCTCTCCCCTTCCTCCCCCTCCTCTCCTCCCCCCTCCCCATCTCCTCCTTCCCCCTCCCCCTCCCTCCTCCTCCCTCCCTCCCTCCCTCCTCCCTCCTCCCTCTTCCCTCCTCCCTCCTCCCTCTTTCCTCCTCCTCCTCCTCCTCCTCCTCCTCCTCCTTCCTCCAGGTCCTTCCCCCCCGCAGCGGGAGACGGCCTCGCCGCGCGCGCAGGGCGCGTCCCACGGCGAGATGGTCGGCCGAGGCTCTAGGGCCGCCGCGACGTCCCACCCCCTGGCTGCTCTGCTCCTCCTGGCAATCCTATCCCTGTTGATGCTATGCCATTGCCGGTGTCCTCCTCCCCACCCGCCTCCTCCTCGTTCACCTCCTTCATCCTGCTGTGCCCTCGACTTCCTCTTGCTACAAATCCCTCATTGCCTTCCTCCTGACTTATTTTCGTGATTTGAAGGACCCATCAAAGGGACCACCACGGAAAATCACAAGCCTCTCTCTGAGTCCCGGGAGGCACGCCGGGCGATTCGCCAGCGTAGCAGCCCTGGCCGCGCAGCTCTCATTCGGACCGAGAGGCGGGCCGTGAAACAAACATGGGCCAAACAAGGAGAAAGGGAACAGCACTAGAACGGGGAGATACGGAGCAGGAGAGAGGGGGGGGGGCGGGGGGGACCAGGTGGAGGCCGGCATGCAAAGGCACACAGGGCCGACAGGAGGTGGACGGGGGGTACGGGGAGAGGAAACCGGAGGGAAGAGCGAGGGAGAAGATGCACCACGCGCAAGGGCAAGGCAATGGGCAAGGTACAGAGCCCTCGCCTCCTCCTCCTCCTCCTCCTCCTCTGACGCCTCGCCCTCTGACCTCATCCCCGTCATCCCAAGTCTCCTTCGCTGGCGCCTTGGGGAAAGTGACGCGCATTCGCTGGCGGCACTGTCCTCGTGCACCGTCGGCAAGCCCGGGTCCCTCAGTCAGGGCGGTGCGGGGAGGACCTCCCTGAAGGAGGATTCATCCACACAACACCCTCGTCATATCCTTGTCCTCCGCCGGCCGGAAAGGGGCAGGCGGGCGAGGGGGAGGCAGTCAGGGGGTAAGCGGCCAGGTAGGAAGGTTCCTCCTCCCGCTCCTCCTCCTCCTCCTCCTCCTCCTCCTCCTCCTCCTCCTCCTCCTCCTCCTCCTCCTCCTCATCCTCCTCTCTCCTTCTCTCTCCTCCTCCCCCTCCTCCTCCTCCTCCTCGTCCTCCTCCTCCTCCTCCTCCTCCTCCTCCTCCATTTCTGATCCTTAGAAATTCCAACAGCCCTTTAGGGAGTGAGTGGTTAAGAGCGCTTTGTCTTCCATCTCCCTCTTCCCTTCGGGGAGGGGTTCGCCTGTCCACCTCCCCCCTCCCCCTGGGTCTGGACGCGGCGCGTTTCGCGAGGTGTCAGAGCGTCTTTTTGGGCCTCGGCGAGAAGGCAGCACAATCATTGATGTTACGAAGGTGTTGGCCACGTTGTGGCCTCCTGGTGGGGGGCTAATGTACTCCGCCCCCTCCTTTGATCGATATTCTCCAAAATGGCCTCGGAGGCTTTCAAGGGTTCCCAAAGAGGGCCCCCAAGAGGTGCCCAACAGGCCCGAAGAGGTCCCCACGAGGCCCCCAAGATGCCCCCAAGAGGCCCCCAAGAGACCCCCAAGAGGCCCCAAGGAGCCCCCCAGATGCACCCAAGACGCCCCAAGAGGCCTCGGTGAGAAGGCCAGCATCATTGGGTTGACTGAGGTGTTGGCCAGATGTCGGCCTCTGGGGGGGGGGGGGCTGATCCCACCAGCCCTCTGGGCGTGAGTGGTTTAGAGCGCCTTCTCTTCCAACCTCCCTTCTTCCCTTTCGGGGAGGGGTTTACCCCTCCCCGTATCCCCTCTCCCTTGGTCTGGATGAGGGGGGGGGGCGGCGAGGGGTTAGAGCGTCCAACTCTGCATCGGCGACAAGACTCAAATCATGTTTTTCTGAAGGTTTCGGCCACAGTTTGGGTTCCTGGGGAGAGACCCAAATGTATTACGGCCCCTCCTTTGATCGATCTCCTCCAAGATAGCCCCAAGATGGACCCCGAGGCTCCCAAGAGTGCCCCAGAGGGCCCAGGGAGACGCCTAGGAGACAAAGAGGCCACCCAAGATGCCCCCAATATACATCCTAGAGGCCTCTAAAAAAACTCCCAAGAGGCCCCCAAGAGGCCCCCTCCGAGGCACCCAAGACGCTTCAAGAAGCCCCCCGGACCGCCACGAGGCCCCCAGGATGCCCCGAGAGGTCTACAAGAAGCTCCCAAAAGACAGCAGAAGAAACTCCGAAAAGCATTCAAGACGCCTCTGGCCTTTCTGCTCGCCCTCCTCCTCCTCCTCCTCCTCCTCCTCCTCCTCCTCCTACAGTTCCTCTCTTCCTTCTCCTTCTCCTCCTCCTCCTCCTCCTCCTCCTCCTCCTCCTCCTCCTCCTCCTCCTCGTCCTCCTCCCCATCCTCCTCCTCCTCCTCCTCCTACTCCTCCTCCTCCTCCTCATCCTCATCACCATCATCATCATCACCGATCACCATCACCATCACCATCACCCCATCATCATCATCTTCATCTATCATCATCCATCATCATCATCATCATCCATATCATCATCATCATCATCATCATCATCATCATCAATCATTCATCATCAGCATCAGCATAAGCATCATATCATCATACACCCCTCAACAACAACAACAAACATCAGCATCACCTCACCACCACCACAATCATCATCATCATCATCGTCATCTCATCCTCATCATTCATCATCCATCATCATCACACCATGATTAATTCATCCACCATCATAATCATCATCATCACCATCATCACATCATCATCATCATCATCATCATCAAACATCATCATCATCATAATCATCAGCATCCTCTTCCTCATCCGTCTACACCTCATCATCCCTCCTCCCTCCTCCCTCCTCCCTCCTCCACCTCCCCCTCCCCATCCTCCTCCTCCTCCTCTCTCCTCTTTCTCCTCCTCCTCCTCCTCCTCCTCCTTTTCCTCCTCCTCTCCTCCTCCCCCTCCTCCTGTTCCTCATCCGTCCAGACCTCCTCCCTCCTCCCTCCTCCTCCTCCGCCTCCTCCCTCCTCCCTCTCTCCTCCTCCTCCTCATCCTCCTCAGCCTACTCCTCCCCTCATCCTACTCCTCCCCCTTCTCCTCCTCCTCCTCCTCCTCCTCCTCCTCCTCCTTTTCCTCCTCCTCCTCCCCCTCCTCGTCCTCGTCCTCCTCATCCTTCTCCTCCTCCTCCTCGTCCTCATCCTCATCGTTACTCCTCTGGTTCCTCCTCCCTCCTCCCGCCCTTGGGGTATGACGGCTGCCCAGCCTTTATTCCTCTGCGTGCTCGCCCACATGCGTGATCAGGGCAATTCGCATGGACATCGTTTCTGGATGAGCTGGTGCGGGTACGCGAAGCGTCTAGAATAATCTTCCCCGCCGCACCCCCAGACGTTCCGGTTGAGCGGGCCCAACGTGTCGCCTGACACTTCTTCAACATTCATGCCCATGAACCGTGCAACAGGTTCGCGGACTGGGGGCGGGCGAAGCGACCGCACGGTTCCGCTGGGAGCGAAGCCCTTTAGGGCCTGCGCGGGGGGGCCGGGGCCCTCAGTGCTTGTAGTCCTTTTTTGCCCAGGTCGGGGCGCTGAGTTATGAGCTGGTGGACGCTGGACGTCAAGTGGCGCAGGTGGAAGTGGAGAATCGGAAGCCGGATGCTGGAGTCGGAGTGATGGGTGGTCGGCAGGTGGAGGTGGATGTGGAAAATCAGATGCAGGATGCCGGAGTGCTGAGCTGCCGGGCGCTGAAGTTCGATGGGTGGAGGCGGAGGTGGACAGTCACATGCTGCCGGAGGGTGAAGGTCGGAATGCTGCGCTGTTGGGCGCCGGAGGTCGACGGGTAGAGGTGCAAGTGAAAGTCGGAACGCTGGATGCTGGAGGTGGGAGTGGTGAGCTGGAAGAAGCTGGAGGTCGATAGGTGGAGGTGGAAGTGAAACATCGGAGGTCGCATGCTGGAGATCCGGATGTGGACGTGAAAATCTGGGGTCGGAAGGTGGAGGTCAGAAGCTTGGAATTGGTGTGCATGTCCAGCTCGCTATGGTTCGATTCCACGTCCTGGCGGACAGGCCGGGTGTCTCAGTTCGTGTCGTCCGTGCTTTGCTGGCCGACGGCGTATCGTACAAATTTATTCTCTAAGCCCTGCCAAGTGTAGCTATCGTGCGCAAGTGCAAACCACCATTCGCAGCCAGTATCATCGGGGAGTCCCTTGTTGTGGTCAATCATATCCATGGCGCCCAAAAAATTGACGACCTCGTGGCCCCAACGCTTCCGCTGTCCGCCTTGTTTTCGTTGTGCGGGTCGTCTGTCGTGCAACGGAGGCTGCCAAGCGGCGGCGCGTCGCGCCCAGCGGCTCTTTTCAAACTGTGTCTTTCGCATCAGCTCTGCGCACTTTCGTCTTGAAAGATTGCTGCAGACGATTCACGGGTGGAGGACAAGTCTGTTTCGCACTGTGGCTCTCGCATCAGTGCCACGCACAGCCGACTTCAAAGTTTGCAATCGCTTCACGGATGGAGGGCGGTTCTTCAAGATGTGGCTCTCGCTTCACCTCCGCGCGCGTTCGCCTTAAAAGTGCGCAACAGTTTCTTTCATGGAGGGCGGTTCCTTTTCAAATTGTGGCTCTCTCCTCAGCGCCGCACGCATTCGTCCTAACAGCTTGCAACAGCTTGACGGATGGAAGGCGGTTCCTTTTTCAAACTGTGCTCACCGCCGCGCACATTCATATTTAATGTTTGCGGCAAGCTCAAGGATTCGTACGGTTGAAGTCCCAGGATTGGTGTTCTGGCAAGACTTGAGATCGCCAAGACGCTGCAATCAAATTGATTCGCGGTGATGAAATACCGGAAATTGCGTCCTGGCAAGATTTAGCACTGTCAGGACACAAAAGACACATTGATCCACCGCGTGGAAATCCCAGGAATTGCGTTCTGGCGCGATTCGAGGTTCTCAGACGATTGTCTTCTAGTGGGTCATTCCCCGCAGTGAAGATAGAATTCTTCGAAGGGCCTATGAAGAGGAAACTTGGAGGAAGGGTTTCTTGCAGCCTCGTTGATGCGTCTTGGGTTTGCATTGGTCCTCCTCCTCCTCCTCCTCCTCCTCCTCCTCCTCCTCCTCCTCCTACAGTTCCTCTCTTCCTTCTCCGCGCCCTGTGCGTCACGAGACTGTCCGCCCCTGAGGCAAACCGCTCTCTGGCGGCGGGGCGCGCCCACGAAGGGCGCGTATCCAACTGGCCGATTGCCGGGCCGATTGCGGCCACCTCCGCACGGCGCGAGGCGACTCCGGCACGCGGTGGGGCAGGCACGCGACCTCGTCAGGCGTCTCGTCCGGCGAGCGGAGCCACGGCTGCGGAGCGCGCAGGGCCCCGCGCCAGCAGGTGCGTGCACTGGGCGCGAGCGAGGAGGGCGCGGAGCGTGGCCGACCGCGGCCACCTCCACACAGCGCGAGGCGACTCCGGCACGGGGAGGGGCGGGCCGACGATCTCCTCTGGCGCCTGGCCAGGTGAGCTGAGCAACAGCTGCGGAGCGCGCGGGGCACTGCGCCAGCGGGCATGGGCAGAGGACGGGAGGACTCATGCTGCGCGTGCCGAGGGGCATTTTGTACTGCTCTTGCGCGGCGGATCCGCTGCCAGCATTCCGCTGGAAAGCCCTTCTGTAAGACGCAGAAGGACACACTGGTAAGACATGTCTCTGTCAGAGACCCGAGCGTGTGGAACAATGCGAGCCGAACGCCTTACAGCACATCGTTCCTCGGGCAGTATCGCCAGAGGGCGCCCGCCACGGAGCTTAGACGTACGCCGCGAGATACGGGTTGCGCGCGCGCCTCGCCCCCGCGGGGCCGACGCACACCACACCTCTTGAGGAGCAGGACGTTGCATAG